GGGAGCCCGATGTGGGGCTCGATCCCAGGACCCCAGGATCATGACCTGAGCCGAAGGCAGACGCTTAACGACTGAGCCACCCAGGCGCCCTCGAATATCTTATTTTTAACTTAGGCTGGAATAGCACTGTTTATTTCATAACTTGGGGTTATTCATGGAAAGCTTGCAGTCCCTACTGAATCAGTGTTCTAGAAATGCTGGGTGAGTGATTCCATGAGTCAGATTCCTCTGACATGCATGGGAGTGGCTCTGTAATCACACGGCACTTTTTCCAAATTGAGTTTTCTTGTTTTATTTGGTCATAGTGCATAATCACTGTAAACATTCAAACAGTACAGAAAAAGTAGACTCCCCTTGTAATCGCACTCTCCAGAGGTAACTGATGTTACTTGTTTGATTTATACCTTGACGGTAAATACACATAGGCACATACATGCATGACACATTGGTTGTAGGGTGTGTGCATACAGGGACCATTCACATTATGTAGCTTTATATCTTTATTGTTTTTTTCTGAATATTCTTGTGGGGAGAAATAAGGTTCTATAGAATTTGTAAAGTAGAAGCATGTCTTTATACTTTTTTTTTAAATGATAAAAGTATAGCCTGTTAATGTAGGAGAAAAAAACAAATCTATGGGAGGGTAAATCTTTGCAAGTATGTAGTCATGTTGGTTTTACACAAATGGGATCACACTGCATATGCTGTCTGGTAACCTTTCCAGGTAGCAATCTTCAGTATTTTCTGAAATCAATAAATAGCCTAGATTAGAATAGGATTGTTAAGCACTACGTGGCATTCTATCCTGTTGACCTACTTGGCCAATTTTCTATTTGTGGACATTTTGTGTATGTATTTCTGATTGGCTTATATCCTTTGTTTAAATTCCTGAAGTTCTGTGCCAAAATACATGCATAGCCTTAGGGGTTTTGAGGTTTATTCCTGTTGATTTTTTTTTCAATTCAGCGGCATTAATTACATTCACAATGTTGTACAACCATCACCACTGTCTATTTCCGGAACTTTTTCATCATCCCAAACGGAAACTCTAACCACTAAGCAATATCTCCCCATTTTCTCCTTCCTTCAGCCCTTGGTGACCTCTAATCTATTTTCTATCTCTATGAATTTGCCTATTCTATAAATTATTTTTAAGTGGAATCATATAGTATTTGTCCTGTTTATTTCGGTCAGCATAACGTTTTCAATGTTTGTCCATGTGGTTGTACTTCATTCCTTTTATGGTTGAATAATATTCCATTGTATAGTATAATATTCTAGTATATTACATGTTGTTTATTAATCTGCCAATGGACAGAGGTTGTTTCTACTTTTTGGCTATTTTGAATAATGCTGCCATGAACACGGTGTGCAACTATCTCAAGACCCTGCTTTTAATTCTGTTGGTATATACTTAGGAATGGAATTGCTGGCTCATATGCATTGTTTTTTGTTTTTGTTTTTTAAGTTATTTGGCTATTGAGATGTATTTGCACTTCTAGCTGAATCCTAAAAAATATTAATGTAATAAATATGTAAATTGTCATTGTAAGCAGTTCATTGATACATATAATACCGAGGTTCCCTAATTACCCTCATCTTTCCTGTTACCCAGGAGCAAACACCATTACCCAGTATGGTGTGTATTTTTCTAGACATTTTTGTAGGTATGTCTGTAGGTACACTACTAATATGTAGTTGGTTTTGTGATAAATTATGCCCCATGTGTATCATTGTCTTCCTTTTGTCTTCAAGTGTGACTTGGCAATCTTTCCATTACTGTATGTGTAATCACATGGTGAGAGTCATCTCACCAAATGCCAACAAGGCCAAGCTATGGGTTCTATCCCAGTAAAGTCATTACTTTCAAAAAGAAGAAGAGCTAACCCACGCCTGTGAGATGGGTAAGGGAGGCGAGGACTGTGTGGTCAGAACATGTAGGGGTGGAGGCACCTCTGTGGTGCAGAATTTTGCTACTGCATTTGTGGTTTTAATCTCATTGCCTTTGGTGTCCTGATGTCCTCATACGTTGTGTTGTGGACTGTTTTCTAGGTGTCTGCAGCCTTGGCTAGGAAGAAGGGGAAAGGCTTGCATAAAGACATGGCTATCTTTTGGCACAAGAAGAAAATAAGTGAGTTTGCAATTATTCTTGGTGTAGTCTCCAGTCCTCTGTGTACCACGCCCTCCGAGCTGTCACCAGTGCCAGGGTGGGGCTGGCTGTCGGTGCATCCTGTGTCTCGGAGTGTTTCTGTGGGCTCCTCTGGAACCTCCTGTGACAATTAAGAGAGTATTACTTTTTCTTTTCTTTTTTTTTTTTTTT